GTTGTGAGCTGAAAAATTGAAAAATATATTTTCATATTTGAATTGTTTGATTTGTATACTCTATTTTAAATTACAATCAAAATTTGCTTGAGAAAAAAAATTCTCCATTAATAAACAGGCAGTTAAATAATAGCTTTCTTTCATTTTCATAAACCCTTTAAAGTGCTGGTAATCAAAGTATAGACTACCATGAAAATAGGATGACGTTGGCCAAAGTGCAATGTAAGTCTGGTTGCTCTGTCCAGACTATAAAATTGGTTATGATAACATCACATCATGACCATATATATATTCACATCATGATATATGGCCATACAATAGCTTTTTTGTCAAAGAAAATTTGATAGTGTAAACACAGCTCATTTTCACCTCTAAGCCTTCAAAACGCCACTCCCCTGAGGTCTCATCTAGGTACAGACACTGAGAAATGAAGAACGTTGCTTCAAACCGCATTTGTTGAAAACCGCCATCCGATGTTCCATTCACAGTTCTGTTGAGTCCCATCTTGTGACGTACACCCACATAAAAAGTTGTTAAAGAACTGTTTGACAAACTACAGATACAAAATTAGGTAAGGATGAGAGCCATAATGCAAATAATAAAGACAATTAAACTGCACTGAACTTAATATAAGGCAACAACATTTGCTGCCTTTGTCTTCATGAATATAAACTGGAATTACTTTTTTCAAACTACAGCACATATAAAACTAGGGCAGACACTTTAGAGAGTTCAAATCTCGTGCCTAAATATCACAGGGATTCCAAGTCTCCTGCAGGTAAGTACATCCTGGGAAATAACCCATCTTCCTCAATTCACAATATTTCCATGTTTTTACTAATTTATTGTCTCACAAAGGTCTGTGGTAATGACAGGTGTTATCATGTGCAGCAAAAATAAAATTAAATGTGTTAAAGCTCACATAACCTGATCTCCCAGAATGGAACTTCTTCAATTTGGGATCCCTGGTATCAAATTATACATAATATACTTAGGGGCCAAGTTTTAAAGCCCTATTCCCGGCAAAATTTCACTAAAAAAGAGTTTTTTTAGAAAAAATGCATATGCATTACTCTAATTATTATAAACAATTGAACATAAATTTTAGTTTTACGCAAAAGAATAAACAAAATGAGAAATACGGACAAATAGTCTCATAGGAGATTGCCATTTTCTTGACAAATACTTCAGAGGTTGTAGATCGCATCCCCTGGAATGCTCTTGCTTTTATGCATACTTTATACAGTCAATAAAGTGCGCCCTCTCTAGTGAAATTGGTTTTTGTACTTCACATCTCGCACACTGCGATCGATCGAGTAGGCCTGAGATATGTTTGTTTAATTGTCAAAATGTCGGTCAGAATCATTTTTTTAACAGATTTGAAATAATTCCTATGAAATATTATATTTCACAAGTGTCAATACTAGCAACGGAAAATATCATGTCGGCCGTTTTTATGTGTGATAACAGAACCTAAATCGAGGTAAGGCTAGGCCTAGCCTAGCAGTGTTGGATAGGCTAATGTTTTCGGTGCCTACTATATTTCTTTGCAGAATCTATCGCAAAATCAAACATGAAAAATCCATCGGCATCACAAAGAAATCAAATTTCAGTCTTATTTTACATTTTTTTCATGTTTAGGAATGTCTAAATTCAGTTAAATTAGCAATTTCGTATTACATTTATAAATCTTTATAACATACAGTATATAAAAATCAGATTTTTCTTAACAACTGAAATCTTGCCAGGAACGGGGCTTTAACAAAAAGTTTTTAAAATATCAGTGACATTTCACCTTGTCATTTGACCTTTTCATCCCAAAATTTGATCACGATATCAATATCTACCACTCTATAAATTTATGACAATCCATTTAGCAGATTTTGCATAATCCTGCTAAAAACACACAAGACAGACCAAGGAATAACTCCTTGGTCAGGGTAATAGGGAGCTTTCGATTTGTGCAACAACGCGACGCTAGAACCGAATCACTCATGCGTGACTGTCCTACCTGGTGTCCTACATTCTCTGCATACGCAGATTTGGCCAAATTGCGTTCCAGAATCTACTCAAAGAGGTGACCTTAACATTCTCGCATGCGCAGATGACTTTTAGTGACGTCATTACATTCTACGTCCTACCGTCCTCATGCAATAAGGCTCCCTAATAAAAGATTTGGATCCCCGTACCTGTTGAGAAGACTGTTACTGTAGAAACAGTTGGTGTCACCTGTAACTTCTGATAGGTAGTCATGTGTGTCGTTCCATGGTCTTGGATAAGCTTCATCATCACTTGCATAGTACCGTTCGTATGGTTTCACTGTTTGACCACTTAGAACACACAGGTTGTCATACTGACCATAATCTTTAAATAAACAGTAATTAAAAATAGTAATAATTAAAAAACATCAAAATAATAAATAATTTCAATTATTCAACTTTTATTTCGGAATCACATATAGCAAACAACACAATAACATAATATAATTGCAAAACTTGACATGTATCTAAGGACCATAAAAACAAAAAATCTGTTCCCAGTATAAATAAGATGTAAAATGATAGCAATATACTTTATTGTGTAAAAGCATGTGACGCAGCGTGTAAGGCATTGAACTTTAATTCGAAAGGTTGTGGTTCGAGACTGATGCTCATCACACTGTTTGTGCCCTTTTGCAAGATACTTTATCTGCATTTGCCTCCTTTTACTTGTACTGCAGCTGGTATTGGGTATTTATATTGCGCCTTTCAATTGCGGTTATGAAGCGCAAGCCAAGCCTCAATAATTCAGGAAAGCAATGGTGGGCATAAAATCAGTCATTATTCAGGAACCCCATGCATTACAATAGCACAGTCACACAGACAACAAAGACAAATAAACAGATTACAACTACAAAAAACGCAAAAGGAAAAAGCAGCAAAAAGAGGCTTAGGCAAACAAGTAAGTCTTGAGTGCACGTTTAAAAAGATTAGGATCTGAGATATCTATAATGTCAGTTGGAAGATTATTCCAAATGAAATGAAAAACCTCCAATTCTCTTGTTGTAACGTGGTATAATGAAATGTACAGATGAAGAGAAACGTGTTGTATGTGTAGGGATACGTTGGTCGAGAAAACAATAGAAACAGGAGAAAAACCATTTGTGAACAGTGAGAATGATTTTGAAAATAATTCTATTATTAACTCGCAGGTAATGAAGTTCATTGATGATTACCCAGGAGTATATATGGGTACCTGGTAGGAGATGAAATGATTTTCAATGAAATTAGCAGTGCTGATTATATGCATGACTAGGAATACTCCCCCAGGGAGGCAAATAATAATAATAATAATAATAATAATAATAATAATATCATGTAAATATTACATTATCATGATACAGTGATGTATAACAATAGTCAGCACATGAGAAAATGAAATATAAATGTAAGTTTTGTGTAATTGTATCCACCTTCTTTTGGGGCACTATTTGCCTTTAAGTATAGGAATATTGTGTAGTTGTAACTCTGTCCAATTTCCATGTTCTTCTGGCCCAATGACGTGAGGCTCACAGATAAAGATCTATCACGTTCAATATCTACAAAAGTAACATTTGAAAGTAAAATAATTAGGCTTTAGAATTAATTGCTAAATATAGGCCTACCAGATTCTCTTAGAAGCAGTGGCGGCTCTAGGATATATTTTCTGGGGGACTGAGCTGTCCGATAGGGGGACTTGAGCTTGTAGGCCTGAGCCTGGGGAAGGGTTCAAGAGGGCTGGTTCCCTCTCCTAAATGAGATTTTTTTAAGAATAGGAACCTCTGGATGGCCAGAAATGACACTCTCAGACTGTGACAGACATGTGTTGGCTTGGGCCTATTTTTATATCTTTTTTACTCTGACTGCCTGACGAGCTCTGTCCAATGGGGGCGGGGGCTTGACCAGTCTGGTCCCCCCCCCCTGGTGCCACCACTGCATAGAAGATGTATTGTCCCCTGAAAATACCAACAAATCATAACATACAATTTTGAAATTAACTTGCTCATTTTGAGCACAGAATAATATTGAAAGGATATTACCATCCCTGTTGGAAAGTAGCCCACTTTGGTTGAGTTAGGTTTCTTTAATATGATAAAACATAAAATAATTTATACCAAAGTGTTGTCTCAGAACATTAGGCCTCTCTCTATATTTTATTCAATTAACTTTGTGTTTATATTGTGATTTTTAATGTTTTCAAGTAATTTTATTATTTTGATGTAATTACCTCTGCCAAAAGAGGTTATTCACTGCTGTCTGTAAGTAAGATTATGCAAAAACTAAGGAATTGATCATCATAAAATTTAGTGGAATGGTACATTATGGGAAGAAATATCAAAGTCAAGGTGACAGAAATTTGATTCTTCACCCTCAAGCATAAATGAGATAGTTTCTACTAATAAGTACTTAGGCAAAACTTTGATAACAAGCTAAACTGGTCGGAACAATGCAAATTCATTTTGAGTAAAGGTATTATAGCCGATTATATTACATAGCCTATGTAAATACGAGTATGTGATTGGTCGAAATGCCATCACGTGACTAGCGCTACGAGGATCGAAAATGTTATATTTCCCCGTAGGGAAATCTGACGTCACCAGATTACACCCGCATTGCGCCCGTAGTGAATTGCTAGTCGAGCGCACGATCGATCGCTCATGAATTGTGAATATGGAAAGCCTAGCGCTTCGAAAATGGCGACTTCGAATAAGTTTAAATCTCTCGAAGACAAATTGGATAGAATTATTGACAAAGAGGGTTCTCAGTGTACAAAATTTGTTGTGAATTCATCCGTTAATGTAGGCCCACTCAGTGAATATTGTAAGGCCAAGGAATCATCAAATTAGGCCTACAGTAGGTCTAGGCCTACTTTTGCATATTGAAAATTTAACAACGGAGCTCAACGCGTTATGTTTTTTGGTCATTCTACGCTTAGGTAAGGAGAGCAAACGGTGAATTTTAGGCTAAACGATCTATGTTTGGCTATGTAATATAACAGATATTGCCTTTTCTATCGGTGTAATATTAACATTTGGTATCCCTTTGGGAATTATATATTTTTTCTCAGGACTATATTTTCCCTCAGCGCTAAGTGCTTCGGGAAAATATAATCCTTCGAAAAAAATATAATTCCCTCGGGGATATCAAATGTTATATTACACCTCTAAGCAGGCAATATCTGTATAATATTTCATGAGAAAGCTAAATGGTTTCCACGTACATAAGTCTATACTTATTATTCTATGTGTAGAACCTCAAGATATTTCAATTCGTTTTTGCCTAACTCTATTCGTTTAATTAACAACTTATAATCTGGCTGCAGGATAGTCAGTTATATATATTCTGTAGTTTAAGCTACTGTATATGTGTTTGTTTTATTTTCATGTGTGTCTACGTTTGTGAACGTATAGAGCAATTGTGTTCCATTGAAATTTCCGAAAGGACAAATAAATTTGATTCTGATTATGATGAAAATAATTGAATCGCTCCTACACGGCCTGCATATTTTTGGTATTCAGGCACAGGGCGGAGGTATATCCACTCTATGGAGTAGTATTAAGATGATGTAAATATCTGTAATTCAGCCTTGGAAAAGGCAGCCAAATTAATATTAACTAGAGCATTCACTCTATAGAGTGCATACAGTACCTCTGCCCTATACTTGATTATCCACTCATTAGTTTTTGCATTATCTTGCTAAAAGACAGAAAGGCAGCGGTGAATACATAACCGATTCGTTGAATAAAAAGAAACTTAAAATTAAACGAACATACTTTGGAAGATCAAGACAGTCAAGTCTAAGCCAGGTGCAGTGGTATTGCCATACATTTTCACTTCATCAGTAGTCTCATTTTCCTTTACAGCAGGCTTAATTGTGTCTCGTACGATGAAAACTTCAATCCGTTCAGTCAAGTTCTGAACCTCCATTCTACTACCGTTTTTGAGCATGTCCATACTGACGACTCTACCGCTTACAAGACTGGATGAGTTATCGTACTGAAAGGGATTATTCTTACGAGCAATAACCTACAATAAAATTCAGATACACTATTGTCAACAGGAGTCCCAATCAAACAATAGTTTACATTTTACATATATGTTGGTTCATGGAGGAATTAGTTCTCATGGTTGGTTTTACTTTTCAGAAAACTAACAAGTCTGTCACCGCAAGCATGTTACACGTTTAACACAAAAGAGTACATTCCAAATGAATATTAACATTGTAAATGTCTCCCACTTGAAATCTCTCATGCCGTTGTATTTTTGTGTACAACATAACACATGGTTTCCGTGGAGTAAAATCATCATGCGAGACATCACTAATCTGACCATGTGCTCCACCTTTCGCTCATCTTCCCCAGTAAAATTAGGTCTAGTGAGTGTCCATGGTATAAGAGTCCGCGCTAATACCACATGACATACATAAAGCTGGTCTGCTGATTTCGCACTAGCTGCACCTCTAATATAGAAAGGTACACTTTAGCCCGGATTTTGGAAATTACCGCAGACACATATATATATTTGTTAGTTATTTATTCTGTTTTACTCCAACATAGAGATGGTAGGTTATATAGGAAAATTAACTCCTAATCCCAATGGGATTCACCTGCCACATAAATATAAATCATCAAAGGTACATATACAGTGTTTAATAAGGACATGATGGAACGTCGTAGGCTACTCTGTAGCTTTTCAACGAATAAAGTCCTATAAAAAGTCATTGTGTAATAAAATGCCTCCGACGGGATTCGAACCTGCGACCTCTTGCTAACAAGGCGATCGTCATAACCACTACACTAGGTTCAAATCCCATCGGAGGCATTTTATTACACAATGAATTTTTAGAGGACTTCATTTGTTGAAAAACTACAAGGTAGCCTACGATGTTCCATCAGATGTTCCATCATGTCCTTAATAAACACTGAAAATGTACCTTTGATGATTTACAATATATTTATTCAGCAGTGTTAACGGCTAACTTCCTTCAATATCATATACAANAAAAAAAAGAAGCCATATAATACCTGTCTCTTATACACATCTAGATGTGTATAAGAGACATATATTCAACCGCAATACCATAAAAATTAGCTACAGTTATATGGGGAACCTCAAACAAAACATCGACGGACACAATAAAACAACCTTATCACTGAAAACCGAGCAGCCTAAGACCAAAAGTTGCAACTGCAGAATATTCACTACATGTCAATCTGATCACATACACACTCTCAACGAGCTTCGGAAAAGTGTTAAAATTTGCTAAAAAGTCTTGGCGGTGGTTGATACTATTTGTTCAAATCCTACTACAAACATTTTAGCTTTACAATGGTACCCAACACTTTATTCTAATTACAATCTGTGACCCATAACAGTAAAATGAAAATGACTCATTTTGGAGATTCATGGAATCATTTTCAAGAGGGGGGGGGGGGGCAACCATGAACTTTCAAGAAATTAAAAGTCCTTAAAAGACACCTCAGAAGTTTGGGAAAGCTATTTCCACCATCTAGAAATCAAAATTTCCCCTCTTTCTTTTTGGGATTAATCGATTCTTGAAAAAAAAAAATATGTATGCAACTACTCATTTTTTAAAATGATATGTATACACAAATAAGGCCTATTTACTGTAATAAGAATGAGAAAAATTTACCCAACCGTTTTCAAGATCGGAAAACCTCGAATTTTGAAGAACTTAAAATTAAAGTCATTAAAAGACGCTTCTGAAGTCGGGGAAGCTCATTTCCTGCCATTTAAAAATCAACATTTTCCCGGGGAGAAAGAGAACCCTCTTTTCCTTTGGGTTCATTGATTCGTAGAATCGTTTTTAGGAGGAGAAAACCTTGAATTTTGAAGAAGTCATTAAAAGACACCTCAGAAGTCGGGAAAGCTCATTTCACGCCACCTAGGAATCAACATTTTCCGGGACAGAATTCACCCCAAACCCCCTTTTTCTTTGGGTTTATCGATCCATGGAAAAAAACATATGTATGCAGCTACTCAATTTTGTTTATGTATTTATATACACGTAACAGGTCTATTTACTGTAATAAGAATGAGGAAGTTTTCCTGACCATTTTCAAGAGGGGAAAACCTTGAAAACCTTGAAGCTTAAAATTAATTTAAAACAACTCAAACGTTGAGAAAGCTCATTTCCCGCCATTTAAGAATCAAAATTTTCCCAGTAAGGACCCCTGCAGCCCCTTCCATTTTGGGGTTGTTAGGAAAAATGTTTACCCCCTCTAAATTTCAACCCAGACCCCCCACCACTTGATCGATCATATTCCCATTCATCCTACTAGTGGGCCACCCACCCACTTTGGGAATGATGCATCTGTCAACATGGTACTGTAAATATGTGTGTAGATGGGTTTGGACCCATGTACCTGTGATCAGTGGCATAGAAGTGTTGACATGGGAGAGGGAGCTGGGGGCTTAAAGGTTAAGTGGGGCTTGATGATTAAGTGAGGCCTGTTAAGGCTGGCAAAATAACTACTTTTAGCATGAATTTTTTGCTAAGCTAATTTGTAATGGGGAACTTGGGTGGAGGAAGGCATAAGCTTCTTTTAGGGGTGTGTGCCCCCAACCCCCCTGTAGATATTTCACATGCCCGTAAATCTTACCTGGATGTCTACTTGTTCATCTGTCAAATCTTTGAAGAAGTTGGTCATATTTGGCACTGTCATGGAAATACCATCACCTTGGTCAAATACTTCTACAATAAAAGACAGAAGACCAAACAATGATTAACGCTCCACGAGAGCCCAGCATGATTTACATGAGTCTTCAGCGAGCAATAAAAAATTCTCTTGGTAGCTAATCCATCTCTTACAAATTATATTTGATATTTGCATGTTTATACTACTGTATTATAAATTTTGACAGCTGGCAATGGATTCCCACACACAGCAAAATACAATGATGTGTTATGAAAGCTAAAAATCAACCAATCAGATCTCCCGGAACTGGCTTCTTCTTGGTACCCAAAGAATAAATAATTTTTGTCACAATATTTAGGCTACTTTTAATACGTTGTGGTTAATTTTAACTGTAACAAGAGAATGCACTTTGTGGCTAGCATCCCAAATTATGTCACATGTGAAAAAGATAACAAAGACATTTAAAATCTGCTCAGAAATAGTTGAGGCTTGCCATCCTAAAACTGTTGTTAATTTTTAAAACTTAGATTAGCATAAGAACGTCCACCATTTTTCTTTAAAAAAAAGAAGCCATATAATACTTTTACTCATAACTTTAGCAATAGTAAGTCAATTCCAGTAAAATGTTCTATCTTTTTAAAGCTTAGGAGGAGAATAAGAATATATTTGAAAAGTCAAGTTTAATTTTTTGGTCACTGAATCTGGTTTTGGAACGGCAAGCCTCATTTTGGCAACTGCAAGGTTGATTGGATGTCAAACATTTTGAATGAGCCGCCACAGTCTCAGCATTCTTACTTTTTTCTCTAAGATTATCTTTTGATGACCGGCTGCAACTTGCCGTAATGTCGGTAGAATCAACCCTCACATTCTCCTGACCAACCACCATTTTGTTTAAAATATTTTCCATCATTGAGTCAATGACACTTTGTGTCCGGTTATTGTTCTCCGAAATCTGTAGATTAAAATAACATTTTGGAATTCTATTCTTTAACGACTGGAAGCTTATAGTGACCGTGCAGGTTCCCATGATAATTATCTTGAAATCATGGAATATAGCAGTGATTAAGACATCCAAAATAATTTTTCTCATAAATATACTGTAGATTGCCAGATTACTTACCTTGGAAAGACAAAATCTCTTTTAAATTTTGTCTTTCTAATGGGGTCGGCCATTCACAATTATCAACATTTTCGCAAGTTTACAAGCAGTACTCTTATCCTGTACCCTCTACCTCCCATCTGAAGCTGTACATAAAATGTTGATTTTCAAAACCATTCGCCATTGTTTTTTGTGTAGTGAATCAAAGTACTACTATACAGTACTTGGTTGCATAAAAATGTCTAATATCCCTGGTTGCATTATAATTGATCATAAAAATCTACTATAATGCAGGTTATTTAGAATCAACATGCACAATGTACACAATTATCTATCCGCTGCCCCTAGCGTAACTGTTTGTAAATTGTTAACATGTTGATGATTGTGAATGACCCCCCCCCCAAAGTAAATTCAATATTTATATAGGAATATTGAATTTACTTAGAATTCAATTCCGTTTTCCTGTGGAAAATATATTGTAAACATCACAGATATCTTGGAAATGGAAATATCCCGGAAATGGAAATGGTCATGTTAAGTTTCCTTATTTTATGCATTCATTTCAACTGTAACATTCAGATGACCACAACATTTGGAACTGATTTCAAATTTTTTCAATCAACTTTACCTGGCTGACAGATTCTGAACCATTAATGCTATCAGTTGTAGGTGGCACTTGAAGACTACCTAAAATAAAAATGAAATATAAAAACAAAAATTTGGAAAATACATTATATATTAAGAAATGAGAATAGTTGCATATCATGTGGAATTTTTTGGAATATTGGACCATTTTTCTTATAATATAATTATATAT